CCCCGCCAAGCCGACCCCGGGCCCCGCTGTGGAAGGCCAAGCCACCTCCAGGCACTCCGGGAGGCACCGGGAATGGTGTGGCAGGAACGGGGGCCTTCACAGCGGCCGGGACTGCGGAGCGCACCGTGCGGGCAGGAACACGGTCGACTCGCCTCTTGGGAAGAACCTTGCCTTCCTGTCATGCCCCCGGGTTTTGCAGCTATCTGGCAAAGACCTGCCCGGAGCCGGCGTCTGGAAGGTGCTGGCATCCCATCTTAGACACACTGAGAAAAATCTCGTCTTTCTCCTGTAAGAACACACTCACTGGTAGCGGTAACTGAAACGCGTGGGGCTTTTTATATTTACTTAAGGAGAAAAAAAATAAAAGGAATTGCACTTGTCATTTCAAAGCTGTTACCAGTGTGTGTGACAAGGGACAGGAGGATCAGGCTGAGGGTGTGAGGCTGCCAGGGTGCTCGAGGCTGTGCCTTCGAGACTGTCCTTTTCTTTTCTTTAAGTAAGGGTCTCACTCTGTCACCCAGGCTGGGGTGCAGTGGCACACTCATGGCCGCCGCCACCTTAACCTGCTGAGTTCAAGCGATCCTTCCACCTCAGCCTTCCAAGTAGCTGCAACTACAGGTGTACGCCATCATTTTTCTTGATTTATTGTAGAGACGAGATCTCTTCCAGGTTGTCCAGGCCGGTCTCAAACCCCTGGGCTCAGGCAACCCTCCTGCCTCCGCCTCCCAAAGTGCTGGGATTACAGGTGTGAGCCACCATACCCGGCACCCTTTAAATTTTTTTAAAAAGCGAGTAGGGTTCTTGGGGGAGAAAACTACAGCAAGGAGGTGGGAGGAAAGTCAGGACAGGGCAGTGGTCCCCAAGAAAGGATCAGAGGGAGTTTAAAAGACAGCGGCTGATACCAGCTACAGGAAACTCCTGCAGCCGGAAACTCACCTACTGTGCTGGGTACTGGGCACCCAAGACCAAGGGTGCTTCTGCCTGGTGATGGGGACAGAGGCAGTGCAGCCAGAGGGGCTAGCAAGGAGGGCGGGCAGGGAGCTGAGACAGGTGGTCTTGAGACAGGAGCTGAGCCGTCCGCCTGCGCAACACCTTGGCTGCTGCTCCGTCCTGGCCACCTGCCTCACCAGGGCACCTTTGCTCCTGCCCTCCACAGCCAGCCTTCCCCCCTGGCTTGGCACCCTGCATGCTTGGATCTCAGTATGTCCATCCCACAGCCCCCCGTGGACCTGGGGCGAACTGACGCACGTGCCAAGCCCCTGCTGTGCTCTGATCTGGCCTCCCGCCGCTGTTCAGCCTCACCTGCCTTTCCGCTTTCTGCAGCATCTTTCAGACCCCAGGGCTCTTGCACGTGCTGTTCCCTCTGCCAGGCCGGCGCGTGCTGCCTTCCGCCCGAGGCGAGCTCCTCTTCATCCTTCACCTTGCTTAAGCCTCACCTCCTCAGGGATGCTCCTCTGAACTCCCAGCCCATCTCAGCGTTCCATCTAAAACAATCACTGCTTTTTTTCCTTTTGAGTGGGAGTCTCATCTCGCTCCGTCGTCCCGGCGGGAGTACAGTGGCACACTCACAGCCACCTCGGCCTGCTGGGCTCCGGCGATCCTTTCGCCTCAGCCTTCCAAGGAGCTGGAACGACAGGCGCGCGCCACCACACCCGGCTCATTTTTTATTGATTGTAGAGACGAGGTCTCACCAAGTGGCCCAAGCTGGTCTCAGGCCATCCTCCCACCTCCGGCTCCCAAAGTGCTGGGATGACAGGAGTGAGCCACTGCGCCTGGCTAACCACCACCGTTTCTGTCCACCTCCCTCCTAGAAGGCTGCTTCGCAACGCCAGGGTCAGGGCTGTTACCCTCGCCACACCCTCGTGTCCTTTAGACACTTGACGGGTGTGCTGAGGTCGCTGTCAAAGTACAGGAGCCAGTACAGCCGCGCAGGGCACAGCGCCCCCACGGGGAAAGGCGGTCTTGCCACTACTCCCACCGTCACCCTCACCACTCGCCGCAAGGGCCTCTCGAGCGTGGAGGCACCCGGCGGCCCTGCAGGGTCACCTCCCGCAGTTGACTGGTGTGACACACTGCTGCCGTTTACTTCTGTAGCTGAGCTCCTACCACGTTTCTCTTGCCATGCCCCGTCCCCAGCGAGGCTGTATTTGGATGAGTAAGTCTGAGGGCGACACGGATCCTTCTGGCCTTGACAGGGCAACGAGGTGCCTCATCCCCTCCGGCACAGGGAGGCGCTGAGGCTCCTCAGTGACTTGAAGATTCCCTCCTTGTGTATCTGGTCATTACTCTCAAGCAATGGCCTAGAAAACCCACTCACGCTGTCAGAACTTCCCCAGGCCCTGACCTGGCCAACAGTCTCACAAATGGGAAATGCTTTACAACAGTATTAATTTCTTTTGAGTTGGAATCTCACTCTGTCACCCAGGCTGGAGTGCAGTGGCACGCTCATGGCCACCGCAGCCTCAACCTGCTGGACTCAGGTGATACTGCTGCCTCAGCCTTCCAAGTAGGTGGAACTAAGGGCATGCATCACCACGCCCAGCTAATTTTTTGATTTACTGTAGAGATGAGGTCTCACTAGGTTGCCCAGGCTGGTCTCAAACCTGTGGGGTCAGGCAGTCCTCTCACCACAGCTTCCCAAAGTGCTGGGATTACAGGTGTAAGCCACCACGCCCAGCCTAAAGTTTTTTTTCAGATGACAGTACTTGGAGAATTTCTTTCAAATAATGCAATACAAAAGCTTACTATTTCAGTGTTCATGAAGTAAAAGTTAAAGATTTGTTTTAGAAACTGTGAAGGGGCTTCTGAGCAGTTTTTATTCTTGGCAACCCTTTTAAGCTAAATATGCTGAATAATTCAATATGATAGAAATATCCAGACTTCACACAAGAAGTCTGGAAAACTGCCTCAAAAAAGAAAAAAAAGAAAAGAAAACACACACACACACACACACACACACAAACAAACAACAAAACCCCACAAGATTAAATTTTCCAGTGAAACAAAAACAGGCTCTGAACAAGGGAACAAGACACCAAGGATAATTTTTAATTTGGTCTTGGTAAACACTCTAAAAATATGTAATTCTCTTCTTTACTCATTTGAAGGGAAGAACATGTCCCTAGTAGCCATGCGTTATGAATTTACAAATCTAAACTTATTTGAAAATAAAGAGAACCAAGCTGATTACATCGACACTCTAAGTCTGAAGGATTCTATCAGATGGGCCGTGAATTTCCAGCAATCAATTTTAAGGGCTCTAATTCCAACACAAGAGGAGCTAACAGAGAAATTCTAGGCAGCTTTTATAGATGTAAAATATTTTATTTGTAAATGGTGATCTTCTAAATCTGTGTCCACAAATTCCAAAACCCATAACACTCTGTATACTTCAAAAAATTCAATTTTTGCCAACATTAGATACTATTATACAGAACAGAAAACAACAAAAACCCGGTAGGACAAATACTGGTAGGATGTCAGAATATTGTACAAGAGAAGAAAAATATTCAAGAAACAAATTTCATACAGCTATTTATCAAGAGAAAAATATATACAATTGATTTATTCTGTAAGATAAAAATACATCATGCCATATACATTACAAGTTCAGAACTGCATCACTGGATAGACCAACAGTTTACAGTCCACTTGAGTTGTGCACACAAAACTTCATTTATACTCAGCCTGTGAAGTGTCAGTACCAGAATTGTAAGTACAAAATAAAAAGCTAACCTGGATTCGAAATGCTGATTAAGTTTCTACAAGCAAACACAAAACAGTGTTTCTTTATTAAAGAAATGTAAACAAACAGTTCATACAAACACATTTTAAAATTACATCTTCCAAAAACCCTATTGCCGGAGTCCTGCAGCTGCAAGCGTAATCACATCTCTCTCTCTCTCTCTTTTTTTTTGCTTTTTCAAATTTTTATGTTAAATAGAAGGCTAAGGAGTTAGATTTAAGTTCCTGCTACATGATCCTATTATGTTTACATGATTCTTTGTGGCCTGAAACAGTTCTAATCAAAACTACTTTTGCTGAAGAAAAAATTCAGCCTCCATTTGGGTGTATTTTTAAGCAGTTATTCACAGTTATCACAAGTTGTAAGCACAAAAAAACCTGACTGAAGAAGTAGGGATGCAACAATATAATATGAAAACATTAGTTTAAATTACCAAAACAGCTAGAAAAGTTGTAGTCATAGCATACACTCTGCTCTGTCAGAAGTGAGGTGTATAAAACAATTAAATCCTAATAGACTGTAGTCTCCAAAAAGCCCCAAACACTCTAGGTTGAAATTTTGGTTATTACATAATTATAATGGCATATTTTATAACACAAAATTATATTGTAACATCCCTATGAACATTTTATAAGCACCCGAGCCGCTGCAGAGCCTGGTAGCATTTGGTCAATAACTATTTTTATACTGTATTTTTTTCTCAAAATATTTACATATTTATACAAAGTAACAGGGTCTGTTAGTTCTGCAGGTAACAGCAGCAGCTTGGCTTTCTTCTAACTTTTATTTAAAAATAGCTTCATTCACTTATTCAGTAATAAATACAAAAGTTTCTCTTATTTTACAGAAATCAAAAACTACAATAAACTGACTCATGGAATCAAGTATTTAAATGTATTTTAGTGCAAGTTATTATCCCTTAGCTCTATCCCTAAGGAAGTCATCCCAGTACATTCCTTGTTCAGTGGTGTCTACTTGACTTGGAATATCTCGAGGGAGAGGGCCTGCCCCTGCTCGATGAGGCCGTGGCCAGCACTCCGCGCGTCCCTCTCGCTGGTGATTTCAGTCTTACATTCATCGGAAGGCCCCTGCCCTGCGGCAGACAGCCTCGGCTCTTCGCCCCAGTAAAAGTTTCTCCTTAGTGAGACTAAACAAAACAAAACAAGACAAAACCCACCCACAAGGAAGAAAAAAAGGAAAAGAAAAAAAGGAAAAGTGCTGGACCGTTCTGTAATTCTGCCCGACCTCAGCCGCTCAGGACGCTGCTTCTGCCAGCTTCTCCTGGTGCTTCCTTAAACTCCAGCGACTGAGGACATCAGAACTCCCAGAAGCTATTTTTCAAAAAGTCATCAACAGAAAACAAAAATATCTGTCTTTCTGTCTGTAAAATCCCAACGATGTACAGAATCGCCTCTTCCTAGGGACAAGCCGCCCGCTGAGACAGCAAGGAATGCATTCAGTTCATCCACTTCCGGCAGTTCACGGCGCCACAGTGACACGGAATCTTGTGCTGGTCGTCTTCAAAGTCAAACTTATAGTCATAGCAGAGCTGCCATGGCAAAGACAAAGGGTGAGCCAGGACAGGAAGGGGCGACCAAAGGCGCTTCTGCCGTCATCGCCTCCCACTTCAAAGCCAGCAGGCCCAGCGCGCCAGCCAAGGAAGCCCTGGCAGGACCCGGTGCCCTGAGATGAGGCTGTGATGGACACAGTACACAAAGGCGAGCCGAGCCAGCCTGAAGGAGGGGGCCTGGCCAGACAAAGGTGCATGTCGACGATTCTCAGTGAAGCCCCTGCCAGGGGAGAGGGCGCTGGGAGGGAAGCATTGAGGGGGGATGAGGCCTTATGTCCCCAAGACTCCGAAGCTTTCGCTCCCTGGCCTGCCGAGTGGGGCATGCAAGCCTGGGCTAGATGAACTACCCTTGCCAGCTGCCACTGCTTCCTCCTTCCTGACTTAAAAGAATATTGACAGGCTGCCTCTCTGTTGAGGGCTTCCCAAATTGGTATGAAAATTTAACAACCCTGCTGTCAAGGCAGGTGGGCGCCTTCCAGATTCCCATGGTGTAAGCCTCACCCCTTACACCTCAAGCAGTCCCTGCAACCCCTGCCCCTGAGAACCCTGAACTGCAAACGAAGGGAAGGACCAGGAATGTCTTGGTCTTCTCTAATTCAGATATTCGAGAACGTTGTTTGGAAGGACTTTCTACACAGAAAGGAAACACGGCAGTATTTACCGAGTAGTTACTCTGAACAATGATTCCACTACCCTTGTTAGGCATTTGCGGAGTTCTTAAAGGAGTTTTGGAAAGAAATTATTTGCTCCATTTGCAAGCGTCAAGGGGGCAGATGGGCCTGGGCTCAGCTGAGTGCTCCACCTGCCATGACTGCTGGCACCATGCTGGGGTTCACATTTCATTAACTCAATACTCTGAGATATGAAATAAGCCTTGGGTCTAGTCAGACCCTTCTTTTCTTTGAGTCAGAGTCCCACTCTGTTGCCCAGGCTGGAATGCAGTGGCAGGCTCACAGCTACCGCAGCCTCGACCAGCTGGGCTCAGGTGATCCTTCCCCCTCAGTATATGGAACTACAGCCATGCACTACCCTGCCTGGCTGATTTTTTGATTAATCATAGAGATGAGGTCTCACCATGTTGCCCAGGCTGGTCTTGAACTCGTGGGCTCATACAATCCTCTTGCCTCTGCCTCTCAAAGTGTTAGGACTACAGGTGTGAGCCACCACACCTGGCCTCTTTTTTGTTGTTGTCTGAGTCAGAGTCTCACTCTGCTGCCCAGGCTGGAGTGCAGTGGCACACTCGCAGCCACTGCAGCCTCGACCTGCTGGGCTCAAGGCAATCCTTCCACCTCAACCTTCCAAGTAGCTGGAACCACAGGTGTGTGCCAGCTGACTTTTTAAAATGTATTGTACAGATGAGGTCTCATCATGTTGTTCAAGTTGGTCTCGAACCCCTGAGCTCAGGTAATCCTCTCACCTCTGTCTCCCAAGTGCTGGGATGACAGGCATGAGCACCTGTGCCTGGCCAGACGCTCATTCTTGATACAAAATGAAGATTTTATAATGATGACCAAAAACACAGGTATAATCAGTCCCACAGCCATGTTCATGAAGGGCTGGGGGCTCCAACAACTCAAGACACAGGCTCCTCATTCCCAAGAAACCACCATGGTTCAGCAGGAGCGTCTCAGCACACACCAATTCCAGAACTAGACGGCTAGGCCAAGGGGCTGAGCACACTGTGAAAGACAACGCTGGGATGCTCGGGGAGGCAACTGGGACAATAATGACCTTAACAGGCGAAATGCTGGACCAAGTCATCTCTGAGACTACAGAGACAAACGTCAATTTCAGCACTCAGCATTTTGAAGAAAACAACAAACCACCTAAACTCCTCACTCGAAATCTGTTGATGTGAAACACCTACAAGCCTGTGTTGATCATCAGTGCGAACATGAGTAATCCAGAGTGACAAGGCTCCCAAAGTCTGCTGCCTACAGCCCTCACAGAGCAGCCAATGAGCCCTCAGGTCCCAGAGACCACAGGGGCAATTCCACGATGTTCCTTAACCATCGCTTCAATGAGGAGCGACGTCTTTAAAAGAGGGTCCCTGCCAAATCGTGTCAAGCTTCAGGAGATAAAGAAGACTCCTAAGACAAGAAATAAGCCTCGAGTGATGCAGGGACACTGAATTTGTGGAACAGAAGATAAGGGCACGGGGAGGTGAGTCTGAGCACTTACAAACCGCCATGTGGAGGAGGGAACACCTGAAGGAGGCAAAACCTGGCCTGGGGGAGGATGTGTATAACAGAAAGGAACGGGAAAACAACTGAGCAGCGCTGGCGTGCTAAGGACACGGACCCCATGGCAGACACAGCCCCCACCCTCTTACCTCTTCTCCTTTCTGGATTCTCCGATTGGAGCTGATGATAATTTTGTGTCCTCTCTCAAAAGTCACCACCTCAGCCACGCAATTAGGTGCACATGAATGGTTTATATATCTGCAAGCCACCATATCAAAAACTGTATTATAAAACAACTAGAGGAAGCTTTAAAAACTTTCCATTTATAGAAAAAGCTTTTTGCGAGTCATATATCTATTTGCCTATTAATAGAACAAGCACAAACACACATTTAAATAAAACATCTTCTCGAAACTCATCTGCTCTGCATTTCTTTTGTTTTTGGAGTCAGAGTCTCACTCTGTCACCCCGGCTGGAGTGCAATGACATGCTCACAGCCACCGCAGCCTCGACCTGCTGGGCTCAGGCGATCCTTTCACCTCAGCTTTCCAAGTGTCTGGAACCACAAGAGCCACCATAAGCGCCACCACTCTCGGCTAATTTTCTGATGTATTACAGAGACGAGGTCTCGCCAAGTTGTCCCGGTTGATCTCGAATCCCTAGACTTAGGTGATTCTCTCGCCTCCGCCTCTCAAAGTGCTAGGATTACAGGCATGAGTCACTGCTCCTGGCTGCTCTGAATTTCAAATCACAACAAGACTACAGTGACATGTCCGCTGTGCATGTCCTCTCTCCACCAGCTCTACTCCAGTGAGCACAAAAACCCTCCTGCTCAGATCCCTCCTTTCTCACCTTGCAGGCCCTCCTGTGAGTGTGGCGTCAATCACGTGGTCGTTATCCATGCGGAACATGTACACTCCACGGTTCTGAAAGAGAAGGCAGGTGGTCATCAGTGTCTAGCTGAAACTCCCCTTTGTGTTCATATCCCCACCAGGAGGACTGAGTTGAAACTCAACTGAAAGCACCCTGGGTCACCCGCACCCAGGGTGATATCCTACTAACCAGTCAGTGACATTTACAAGGCAAGAATGGAAACCATCAAATCAATAGGCTGTGAAGCCAGACTAGCTAATGTAGTCATCTCTATGCAATAATGCCAATCAAAAAAGATAAAATTAATGGAAGGAGAAAAATACAAGAATAACCAGATAGGGCTTTTGTTCAAAACTGAATGCAGGAGGACAGATCTGGCTTTTTTAGGGTGCTGAGTTGGCACAGGGAACAGGAGAAGATGATGGTGATGTTTATACAATCACAGGGACCAGACACTACCTGAGACTCATAAAGCTTCTCTTTTCTGTTTGCCACTTCATTTCGGATGATAGTCCCAATATACTCAATGACCATGGTGTGCTTCTCAATGTCTCTAGCAGCATACAGGCCCAGCCCCTGCCAAAAAGAGGGCGAGGGTGTGTTTACATACTTCAATTTATTTGACAAAAAACCTATATTCTGTTTTTTATACAAAGGTTTTACTTATCCTTATGTCTTATCAGAAGCCATATTTAAGGTTTTACCTGAACACAAATTACTTTTTTTGAACATGCTATTGACTAAAGTTTAAAATGTTCACAACCTTGGTACTTAAATTGTGCCATCACTAACTGTGTTTCTATGTCCTTTTTAACACTAAATTCTTAGAGTATACGTTCACAGCACTGCTGTGGGTTGGCTGTCCACATTTCCTTTTTGCTTTTTTGAGTTAGAGTCTCACTCTTGTTGCCCAGGCTGGTGTGCACTGGTATGCTCATGGCCACTGCAGCCTCAACCTGCTGGGCTCAGGCGATCCTTTCTCCTCAGCCTTCCAAGTAGCTGGAACTACAGACACACACTACCATGCCCGGTCAGTTTTTGTGATTTATAATAGGGAAGAGATGATGTCTCACCAAGTTGCCCAGGCTGGTCCTGAGCCCCTGGGCACAGGCAATCCTCTCGTCTCCACCTCCCAAAGTGCTGGGATTACAGGCTGAGCCACCGCGCCCAGCCGGTTGTCCATATTTTCTTTTAAGCTATCTTACCCTTTATGTAACACCAAGCTAAGTCCCCACCAACTAAATAAGCTAATGACTTCTGGTATTTATTTTACTCCAATACTATTTCAAAAAGGACCTGACACAGAACAATAAATTTAATAAAATAGAAGTAGGGTTAACAATAAGGGATTATTAATGCTATAAACAGATTTGGTTTCAAGTTTCCTAGAAACCGGGGCAAAGAGGAGAAAGTGGAAAGGTTACTTCAGCAAAGTTGGGAAAAAAATGAAGTTCGCAGGGAAGGAAAACTTTTTTTTTCTTTTCTTTGAGTTGGAGTCTCTGATGTGCAGTAGTATGCTCACTGCCACTCCAGCACAACCTGGGCTCAGGCGATCCTTCCGTCTCAGCCTTCCAGGTAGCCTGAACTACAGGCGCACACTATCATGCCTGGCTAATTTTTTGATATACTGTAGAGCCGAGGCCTTGCCAAGTTGCCTGGGTTGGTTTCGAATCCTTGGGCTCAGGCAGTCCTCTCGCCTTGGCCTCTCAAAGTGCTGGGATTACAGGCCTGAGCCACTGTGCCCGGTCAAGTTTACTAACTAATACAAAATTCTAAGGCTGGGATAGAAATGTATAGGAATCTAAACTGGCTAAAACTGAAGCATTTCTAATTCAGCAGCTGGAACTATATATGCCAGTGGTCTGGTATATGTGCTGTTTTGATTATATAGCACTACTTCTGGAGAAACAACACACTAAGAAAATGTGGACAACTCCCATAAATATTTGTATTTTCTTCTCTCACTATGTTTTCTTGCATTTAGTTCTGAGCAAAAGGCAGCTGTGGAAGGGAGAAGGACCGTGGGCTGCTGGGAATCCCTGACCTCTTCCTCATCAGGTACCACCTTGGAGCACACAGTAGGGAGGGCCAATGTCAGGGACTTACATTCTGGAAAAAACATTTGTGCAGTTTATCTGTTTAGTTCCAGACATGACTCAGAAGTGAGTGAGCAAGAACACACAAAAAAGTATGTACGGAGATCAACATAGTTTGGTTTAAGAAGAGACAAAAGGATCAGTGGAAACAGAGATCCCAAATGGATCCCTGCATATATGAAAATTTAATGTAACACTAACATTAAAATTCAGTTTAATATGAATGGATAATTTATTAAGCAGTGCTTCAACAATGGATTATCCAATTGTTGAATGGAAAAAAATGAAATTGCCTTAAAAATTTTCTGCAAGAAAAAAAATCTCAGAGAATATATATATATATATAAAATCTATGATTTTGACCAAGACTAGAAGCTACAGAAAATTAAGTATGTTTGCCTATATAAACATTAAAACTTCTTTTTTTTGAGTTGGAGTCTCACTCTGTCGCCCAGACTGCAGTGCAGTGGCCGCTCCCGGTCACTGCAGCCTCGACTTTCCGAGTAGCCGGAATTACAGGTGCGCACTACCATGCCCGGCTGATTTTTTGATTTATTGTAGAGATGAGGTCTTGCCTGCCCAGGCGGGTCTCGAACCCGCAGGCTCAGGCAATCCACTCACCTCAGCCTCCCAAAGGCACAGGATTACAGGCTGAGCCACTGAGCCCGGCAACACTAAAACTTTTATAAGAAAAAAGATGCCTTGCTTCCTGATAAGTAAAGAATGTTTTATCGGGGAAAATTCTGAACAGTGCAAACTGCTACAAATTGAAGAACAAAGGATATGACTATGCAATTCCCCAGAAAGCAAATACAAATGGCAGACATGAAAACCTGCCCAATCCTTAGAGGAACTGCAATTAAGGTAACAGTATCAGTCTATACTCATCATTCTGACAAAATTTTAAAACTGTTAGCACCTACTACAAGTGGGAAAACAAGAAAAATAGTCTCTCACACACTGGAATTATAATGTGCAATTATAGACTTTTTAGAAAACTGGCAACATCAGGCCAGGTGCAGTGGCTCATGCCTGTCATCCTAGCACTTTGGAAGGCCAAGACAAGAGGATGGCTTGAGCCCAGGAGTTTGAGACCAGTCTAGGCAACACAGTGAGACCTCGTCTCTACAAAAAAATAAAGAACAGAAAAAAATTAGCAGGGCAGGTGATCCCAACTACTTGGGAAGCTGAGGCAGGGGGATTGCCTGAGCCCAGGAAGTCAAGGCTGCAGTGAGCCATAATTGTGCCACTACACTCCAACCTGGGTGACAGAGTGAGACCTTGACTCAAACAAATGAACGAATGAATGAACAACAAAAAAAATGGCAATATCTACAAAAAATGAAAAGCACACATGCTTTTACACAGAAATCTTACTTTTGGGAGTACATTCCTTAGGAGTGAAATTAGGAGGAGACTTAGACAAGATACAGTAACAATGTTTGTTGTGAGAAAAGCCAAATAAACACTCCACAGTAGTGGGATGGCTTAATTACAGTTCAACATCATGGAAGATAACATAGCCATGAAAGAGAATGATATAAATCTACCTCAGTTGATCTAGAGGGATCTCTGGGTGTTAGCGAGAGAAGACAGAGAAAAATGTATGTAACATAATTCTGTTTTTACATATGTAAATTTTACATATTTTTACATACATAGATATGTATGTATAAGATATTAGCATGGAAAAACACAGGACACATACAAGATCATTCACATGATTCCTAGGAGGTGGGAAGGGAAGGAGGAAGGAGACAAAAACCAAAGCTCTCAAAAATGCTTCAGGTTAATGATGACAGGTTGAACATGTAGGTAAGCCACCCCTAAAACCACAGGAGAGGAACATGCCTCAAGAACAGGAATGGATATAAGAGTGAATAAACGGGCTGGGCACGGTGGCTCAGCCTGTAATCCCAGCACTTTGGGAGGCCAAGGCGAGAGGACTGCCTGAACCTGCAGGTTCGAAACCAGCCTGGGCAACTTGGCGAGACCTCATCTCTACAATAAATCAAAAAATGAGCCGGATGTGATAACTACTTGGAAGGCTGAGGCAGAAGGACCGCCCAGCAGGTTGAGGCTGCGGTGGCCAGGAGTGTGCCACCGCACTCCAGTCTGGATGACAGAGTGAGACTCCAACTCAAAAAAAAAAAAAAAGCATGAATAAACCATTTCAAAACCTTTGAAGCAGAAACATAACTGATTCAACAGGAACTGAGACAGAGCACTAACCCGTCCACAGAATCTGTGAGGATCAACAGAGAGGGCCAACAGTTGAGAGAAGAATGATACTGTACTCATAATGTAAAGAGTTACCAAACAAAAAGATCAGGAGCAGAAAGGGATCCTAGCTTATTCTTTTTTAATGCACAAGAAAGATTAGCAGATAAAGTAGAGGAAGTCTCAGAAAGAACATACAAGGAACCCCGCCCCCCCGACAAAAAAAGCAGGAAAAGTACTGATGTGAGACAGACGTTCTCCGAATACATGAAAATCACACAGGGGGCCTTCCAGGGGTGGATTCAGTAGGGCTGGGCCCCCACACCTGCATGTCTTAGTAAGTTCTCATGTGATGCAACTGCTACTCATCCAGAGGTCCACACTTTGAGATCCTGTATCTCAGTGGTCTATAGGTAGGTACAAACAGCAAGAAAACAGGGAAGGAATGTACAAAAGAATTAACATGGCTGGACGCAGTGGCTCACGCCTGTAATCCAGCACTTTGGAGGTAGAGGTGAGAGGACTGCCTCAGTCCAGGGGTTCGAGACCACCTGGGCAACTTGGCGAGACCTTGCCTCTACAATAAATAAAAAAATTAGCTGGGTGTGGTAGCGTGTGCCTGTGTGGAACAATCGCCTAAACCCGGAAGGCTGAAGCTGCGGTGGCTGTGAGCATGCCACTGAACTCCAGCCTGGGCAATAAAGTGAGACTCCGACTCAAAAAACAAAACAACAGAAACAAACCAAAAAAACCACAAAAAGTTTATCAGACTGAAGGTCCCAATGTTCCAGACTGAAAAGGCAAGAAAAGCAACAAATAAAAAAGATCTTAATTCAGGCACATTTCTGTGTAATGTCCGAATATCAAGGAGATCCTAAAAACACAGTGAAGAGTAAAAGAGTTCCGACAAGAATCTGAATGAGTACAAAAGAATGTTGATTCAATTTGGATTTCAAGGAGATTTCACTGACTTCAGAGTAGGAACTGGGTGGGAGGAGCTAGCCAGGTTTGCAGTGGTATAGACAAGTAAGATGTGGATTAAAATAGAGGTGGGAGCCTAGGAGTGGCTCTGAGAGAACAGTTAGTGGGGTGGGGGCGGAACACAGCAAAACCTTATGCTCTGAACCTCGAGGTACTGAAGCCAACTTACATCAGCAGTGATATCGCTCAGTAATCAGAGGTGCCTGGGGAAAATGAGAGCTTTATAACTCCATTCTAGGGCATCCGAGGAAAAATGCTGGATAGGCATTTGGATGGCAGGTGTGCAGCTCAGGAGGTATAGAGTATAGATGTATATTTAAATGCTTAGTCTACGGGAATACCTGTAAGGTATTCCACAGTCTGTCTATCAAAAAATGTATAATGCTTTCATGAAAAGGTGACTTCCAAAAGATAAGGTAACCTCCACAACTGGAGTATCTTTTGAAAATATCTTCCTTTGTATTTTTCACAAGTGTTTGAAACAGCTAAGGAACTCTCTACAAATCCAGCATGTTCAAAATACAATGCTACCTGCTTCCCAAGAGCTCTCCTCCATATGTAAAGATGTGGATTCCAAAGGTCTGCTTTCCATCTGGAGAAGTCAAGCACCAAACTGCAAGACTATTAAATCACTAGTGTCACAAACTGACAGGGTCTGTATGATTTCAAAAGCATGATTCTATACCTGCAGTCATGTGAAGTCATTTTCACACACTGGACATCAGTATCTTCAGACTTCTAGATTCCACCCTGTCTCTCTTCTTCCTCAACTCAAAGTATTTCCTCACCTGAATCCGAGAGCGGGCCAGATACACATTGGATTTCCATTCAGTCTTCATCTTCCGGTACTGCGATGACTTGGAGTGGACAAACTGTTTACTATAAGGTGCGTTCAGTTCTCCAGTGACTGTGCTCTGAAATGACTTTGAGGTGCTGGTGCTGTTCAAGGTGTGAGGCCTGCAGACAACGGCATATCAACAGGAAAAAAAATAAAAGGAAAACTGAAGATATCTCTGAATAATACCAAAAGCCAGGTCGATTCAAACTCTTACTGACAGAAACATACATGGAAAGCTGCCTAGCAGAGACACACAGTGAGTTCTCTGATGTAGTCAGGCACATGCACAGCCAGAGACAGCAGGGTTTGTAAGCAGCAGACGAATCAAGCACAAAAAACCACTAAAAGGCCTAGAAACCCTGGGCTGTACTATGTGAAGTCAAAACAAAATACCTTAACACAAACCTCTTGACATGGGCACTCATTTTAGGTTCAGAGCGGGCACAACCTGTGGGGTTAACGGCAAGAGGAAGTTCCATAAGAGGATTTCGGCCATATCGGAAGGTATAGTTTTCACATGCCTCAACCCCAGGCAGCTGAAAAGAAGCAAAACAGATGAAAAGTTAGCTGATTGAATTGAGACTGCAGACCATCTTGAGCTGGAAATAACTTGTAAGCATTTTCCTTGGTAACAAAATGGTCTTTTAACTTATATTAACATTCAGTCTGCACACAGACCCATTTAAATATGAGAAGGCAAATTCAGTTTCAAAGCCAAGCTTAGAACATCCTGGCAAATGCTCCTTGGAGAAAAGATTAACCCATATAACCACCACATGCCAACCCATGTGTATGCTTGTGTGATTTTTAGGATCTGATTATTCCAGCATTCACAAGTATGGGGAATGTAGTGATTTACAACTTAATTCTTTCACCTAGATTAATGCCAACTTTTATATCTCTGTCTGGAGTTTTAACATAGCAGTAGTTTAAAAAATTACTTATATGGTTTACTTTCTTGATCATTTATCACTTCTTTCAATTTGACTCTGATATGATAAGGTTATCACACTCCATGTCCTAGAAGCATACAGCATGGGTGGCAACTTAAGGTTTACTCATAAAATAATTTACACATTAAAGGTCTTTTCTAGAATGTATTTCTTGTAGAATGTATTTCTCTACAATCATAAAAGATACATATAATTGAGACAGGGCTATTTCAAAAAAAAGCCATTAGGCTTATTGCTCAGTGGCTTTTAGGGTCTCCTCTGCTTCTCCTAAGAAAACACATCAATTATGTTTTTATTCTTGAAAACAATGCCTTAGAATTACACAACTTTCCAAGAGTATTGTGTAGATACAGTTCAGTTAGACTCACTGTCAAATATGCTTATAATCTTTTAAGCCAAGAGATGTCAGAGAAAACAGTCACAAGTGATGCTGCAATCCCTTGGTCTCTGGTGACTAACACTAGGAAGAGGGCAGAAGAGTGGCCGTAAACACTTGTGTCAGGATGTGGGGGCACACTAATGTTCTGAGTTGCAAGAGAATGTTAGAAAGTCCAGGGGAGAGAAGTGTGTCCTCACCCACCCAGTGTAACTAGAAGATGAGACAAGGCTGGTATCCTTCACCCTTGCCTGCCTCCAGCCTGGAAGAGGACCTCCAGCTTGTGAATGACCTCACTGAGAAAAAATTCACATGCAATGAGGTATCCCAATTAATCACCAATGTCTTGTTTTAAGAGAAATAGGTTAATACACAGGCAGTCACTTTCTGAAGCATCATGAACACACTTAACTAGGAAAGGAACGCTAACCTCAGAGAATGACCGAGATACTCACTGATTCAGCTATCCGTGCCACTGCAGAGACGGTCAAGCCAAACAGATCTTCTCCTTTTAAATAAGCTGGGAAAAGCTGGAGCATTTCAGATTTTTTTCTCACACACGCCACAGGCTCCAATATCTTATCCCAAACACCTACATATGGACAAAATAATACCTTTTAAACAGTATAAAAACAAAAGCAAAATGAAGACTAACCACTCACCAAGATTTACTAATTTACAACAAAAACATGCTGGCAAATGGCTAACAAACCTGTTTGGTCATAATCTAATGAATCTGTTTATTAAATGACAGCAATTTATTTTAAATACTTTATGAAATTTTGAGGAAAATAATATATTACATTAAGGACATTAAACAGTGCAAGTGAAAAAAGTTTAATATAACTAATTCATGCAAACAGTTCATTCAATTTCGCACTGGTCATATAATATACTACGTTTTCAAATGATGAGTCAATCAGTAATACCTGTAGATATGTTCCTTTCCTTTCAGATTTATATTAAAATATTAAGTTAATACATCCTTTGACTGATCTTTAGCATATTTTCATACATTTAAAAATGCTAAACTTTAAAAAAGCAGCTCCCCAGTGTATCCTACACAAATAAAAATGACAATCTAGACTTAATCCTGGAGGTTCAAACTAAGTGTCTAATTTCTACTTCTGAATCTTAGGTAATATCTGAAATAAGACAATATAAACAATATTTTATAACTCCTGCCTTCTAAAAACTGACATTAAGAAAGAGGGGGAGCCGGGCTCGGTGGCTCAGCCTGTAATCCCGTGCCTTTGGGAGGCTGAGGTGAGTGGATTGCCTGAGCCCGCGGGTTCGAGACCCGCCTGGGCAGCGAGACCTCATCTCTACAATAAATCAAAAAATCAGCAGGGCGTGGTAGCGCATGCCTGTAATTCCAGCTACTTGGAAGGCTGAGGCGGAAGGATCGCAGGAGCCCAGGAGGCGAGGTTGTGGTGGCCGGGAGCGGCCACTGCACTCCAGTCTGGGCGACAGAGTGAGACTCCAACTCAAAAAAAAAAAAAAAAGGAAAAGAAAAGAAAGAGGGGGGTCCCCAATGTAAAAGACAGGCAACCTTTATATACGACTCATTCTCAGATTTATTTGGCCAGCTCTTATGTTCAAACATATTCTGACTACAAAAGCGTTAAGAAAATTGTATAGGCTGGGCATGGTGGCTCATGCCTATAATCTTAGCACTTTGGAAGGCCGAAGTGAGAGGACTGCCTGAGCCCACGGGTTCGAGACCAGTCTAGGCAACTTGGTGAGACCTCATCTCTACAATAAACCAAAAAATTAACCAGGTGTGGTGGTACGCATCTATAGTTCTAGCTACATGGAAGGCTGTGGCAGAAGGATTGTCTGAGCCCAGCAGGTCAAGGTTGCAGTGGCCATAAGTGTGCTACTGCACTCTAGCCTGGGTGACAAAGTGAGACTCCAATTCAAAAAAAAAAAAGAAAGAAAATTGCACAGCAAAAACAGCAAGGCGTAATAACACAAAGATACACACTTGTGAAGGAAAAATCCACATCTGTTATAAAATATGAAGCAATCGTGAGAAAAAACATGGAAACGGGAACACGCAAATGGCAGGTGTTACCTTTAGGTGAGGAGTCACTTAAGACTTGATCTTCATGGCCTTGCTCCACAATCCTGATGACAAACACTGGGCGTCCATCTTTCTCCTCAATGGAGCACAGGTAGCGGCAGCGCCTGTTGGCATAGCGTGTGCTCCAGTACAGCCGGCTGGCTTCATAGCCCACAGGGAAGAGCGCTTTAGGAGAATGGAATGCTTGCATCTGCTGTGGAAGCAGCTGTCCAATCGTATGGAAGATGAGGCTTCCAACGCGAAAGGTGTGGTCCCGTTCTCCTCGCTGCACGATGCTAGCAATCTGTCGGACCTCGTCGCGCTGAACATAGACCCTCCTGAAGACTGCAAAGTAACTTAATTCCTGCTCATGAATTCCCTTTGGTTTGTGCATGGGGCAAAGCATAGTTTTGTCCTTAAAAAACATGCATTGTGCTTTAATGGCGCACGTGAAGTGATAAATGTTGGTGCACCGAAATCTGTGACATCCGCTGGTAGCACCCGTCTTATGACAGAAGACACATTTCATTTGTAGACCTCTTCTCAGTGCCAGCTCCACATTTATCAAAGCACCAGCCTGAGTTTCATAGACCTCTGTGGACCACAGAGCACAATTCAAGTGAACCCACAAATCCAAGTCGAGGTTGAGCAGCCTTGCTGGCCCATCTGTCAATCCATCACCTTCTTCATGACAGAAGCAACATTTCCGATAGTCTTTGGGCACAGGGTCAGGTTTAAGGGAAGTGCCCAATTTCTTTAGAAATTCATCTATTTCATCCTCACAAGGTGGTTTAAATGAGCCCTTGGGGATTACAATATGAATGCTCCATTTCTTCCATTTCATTCCTCTCCACTTTTTATTTAACGGCCTGCAATCTTCAAATCCACCATGGACAGCTCTCAGCCGAGGCTTTAGCTTGACGGTTACCTTAAGCTCGTCTGGCTTGGCCTCTACCTTGGCTGCTTCAAAAGCAGGAGGGAATGCGATGGGCGGCGAAGCAGGGGGAGATGCTTTCTCTTGAAGCTGTGGGAGACAGTGCACATCTAAAGTGGAGATGTTGTTACTGTACTGGTGAAACGCTTTGGAAGGCGTCTCTCTCATAGGTGACTGTGGCAATGAAGGAATGGATTCCTGGGCAATAAGAAGAAACCATGAAAAAGAAAAATAATTCACAAGCCCTAAAAGCAATTCTTGCTAACACCAGAGGCCAAGCTGTATGGTTTCAGAATGTGTGTGACTGGAGGGTGTGGGGAGGACCAACAGTACAGTGATGAGGGCTCACACCCAGTGGAAGCAGACACTGGGCTCTGAGGTGTTTGGCGATGGTGCTGAGGAGGGCAAGGTAACTGTGGGCACATCCTTTCCATGCCTCTTCTACAGAGCCACAGAACTGAAACCTTCAGGGATAACCCCTTTCTAATGATATTAAAGCCAGAAAAAAAAAATCAATGCTGTCAGAAGAGCTAGTTAATTTCTGTTCAACCAAAAATGCTGCAACATCAGCTACTGAGAGCTTCTCTCCATTTTCTGAAACTCCCACCTGTTAATCTCAGGCTTAACCAACAGTGTGAATGGCAGTGAAAGGGGGGAGCCCCACGCCCCAACCCACCAACAAACAAATTTCATCAATTCTTCTCTGAGGCCCCTCGGCTCTGATCCAGCTACTGAAAGAGTGAGGCTAAGATAGAAGTCCCAGCAGTTTCTCTAAGTTATGGTTCCGAGCATCATGAACTAATAAACACTCAACCCACAGGTTGCACTCTTCTCACATGCCCCATTCCAACAAGGTACCTGGAAAAAGACATGCCTCATAAAATCCAGTGGAAGGCTGGAACTGCACACCGACTTAAGAAACCATCTGGTGAAAAATTAATTCCTTCTTTTGTTTAGACTGCTATGTTTTAATCTAAAGTCTAAGTTTATTTGTCATACAGCTTGAGTTTTATTAAAGGCTTACTGGAGACTACCAGTAAAAAGTAAGAGTCTCTAGAACATTCTTCTGCGAAAGACATACTAGAGCAATAATCTGAATGGAAGAACAACTACCAGTATTACTGACTAATGTACAGGAAAAAAACACCTTCAAAACATGAGTAAAAATATATCATTTGTATCAACTACACACTTAGATACACTTATATCACACAAAATTAAGTAAAGCAGACTTTTTCCACCACGGTGTGAGTAAAAATCTTTTCTCTCAAAATACATGAATAGACTCAAATTTTATTTTATTTTTTTGAGTTGGAGTCTCACTCTATTACTCAGGCTCAAGTGCAGTGGCACGCTCATGGCAACTGCAGCCTCAACCGGCTGTGCTCAGGTGATCCCTCTGCTTCACCCTTCCAAGTAGCTGCAACTACAGGCATGCACCACCAGGTCTGGCTAATTTTTGATTTATTGTAGAGATGAGGTCTCACCAAGTTCCCAGGCTAGTCTCAAACCTGTGAGGGCTCAGGCAATCCTCTCACCTCAGCCTCCCAAAGTGTTGGGATTATAAACGTGAGCCACTGAGCCCAGCCAAATTTTATTTTATTTTATCTTATTTTTTTGAGTTGAGGTCCCACTCTTGCCACCTAGGCTGGAGTACACTGCAGCCTCGACCGGCAGTAACCATGACCTGCTGGGCTTAGGCTATCTTTCCACCTCAGCCTTCCAAGTAGCTGAAACTACAGACACTTGCCACCATGCCCTGTTAATTTTTGTGGTTTATTGTAGAGACGAGGTCTCACCAAGTTGCCCAGGCTGGTCTTGAACCCCCCAGGCTCAGGCAATCCTCTCGCCTCTGCCTCCCAAATTGCTGGGATTACAGGCTGAGCCACCATTTCTAGCCCAAATTTTATTTCTGAACAGATTTTCCTACTGGGATCATTAAAAACAATTTTTAAATGCTATTTAAATTTACATATTTGGCTGGGCATGGTGGCTCACACCTGTAATCCCAGCACTTTGGGAGGCGGAAGGGAGAGGACTGCCTGGGCCCAGGGGTTCGAGACCAGTCTGGGCAACTTGGCGAGACTTCATCTCTACAATAAACCAAAAAATTAGCTGAGCATGGTGGCACTGCACTCCAGCCTAGGTGACAAAGTGAGACTCTGACTCAAAAAAAAAAAATTTTTTTTTAAATTTACGTATTTGCAATTGGTAAAATTTAAGATTATAGTATTAATGTTTTATTCACTAAACTTTTAAAGTGTAACTTAAGTCTGCCCACTCCTGTCAAACTAGGCTGAAAGAGCAACACAGGTCAAGGCTGCTGACACCCTCCCTCCACTTGGTAAGCATCCACTTTGCATTGCCCACACACAGAGGTCTAGAAGGCTGGGACACGTCTGTGTTAGCCACTGATGCGTACCCAGAACAGAGAAATCGCTCTGTGCTTAGTTGAGATTATCCTAGTCTTACCCTGCATTCCAAGTTTTTTGCTTGCGCAGTTGATGAATAAAGAATAAAGCAGTTATGACTACAAAAGACAACATCCTTCTCCACTCTCTTGGCACTTTCTCGGGAATCCTGAAAAGCAAAGAGAAATATAGGGATTTCAACAAGTCAAAATTTAATAAAAACAGAATCTATACATCGCTGAATTTTATGTTCAAAAGTGACAGGTCTTCAAACTTAAAAGTAAAAAGGTAACTATGTCTCAATATTTAGCATATAATGACACAGAGAAAACACAGAACCAAATTATACTGTCCATGTTCCACTCTATTTTAAAATATGTGGTCTCATATACAATGACACCACTACCAGGAACATGTGTCCCATCATTCCACCGTAAATGGAGTCTTTCCCTGATGTAGGAGCAGACACTGCAAAGCACATTTTTCACTAGAGGTAGGGAGTAGAGTCATAAAAAGAAGAGTAAAGTACCTTGTTCAAGAAGGTCAGATCTTTGAATGATTTCCGCACACCACTTCCAAGAATAACCACTTTACAATGACAACACCACTGTGGTCTGAGCACTGCACTTTCAGCAATACCATGACTGGAATCCTTATAACCAGAAAGACCTAAAGGCAATCAATTTTTTGTTAGTAATTAAAACTGACCGATAATACGAGGTACACGGCTTAAAAGGGTGTTATATCAATTACTACAACCTGGTTCATTAACTTACTTTATAAAAAACTTATTTTCGAAGTGATGGTTACAGGACATCTATTACATGACACTGGGGTAGAAATGAAGAAACATGCCTATTCTCAAACAGCTGGGGAAAATGGTGCTAGTATTAAAGAAGAACCTAACAAAACCAAGTCACCAAGATAGACAATATTCAGTTCGAGGAGGAAGAGATACTACTTTTGCTTGAGGGTTAAGATGCTACAAAATCATTTTATAAAAGATAAAGAGGTATGTGTAGAAAAGTCTTAAATAAGTGTGATGTGGAGAGTCAAACAAAATGAAGAAAGATCCAAGGCCACGACAAGAATGCAAATAAGAACTCAGGGATTAGAAAGCATAGGGCACACTCAGAGCACCATTCAGGTGGGGTACGGAGGCAGAAAGCAGCAGGGAACAGCAAGTTGGCAAAAGCAGCTAGACATTAAGAGGTGGGAGGCTGCCAGAGAGGCAGGAAGGAAAGCTGCCGTGCTTGGTCTAGGGGAGTTGTTCCACTTCTCAGAGATGGTGAGGCACAAACACCTCTGGGGAGAGAAGGACCCCATGGAGATGGCACGAGGTGAAACAGGAGAAAGTGAGGACGGAAGGGAGAGAAAGCAGGAGAAGAGAACGAGTGTCAAGCCACCAGACGATGCAAGCTCAGCGGGATGGGAGCTTGGGGATGCAGAAGAATGAAAGCTGCTCGAGGGCAGGCGAGTCACAGGCTTCTCTAGCCTACACAGATAGCTGGCACTCAGATACTTCCTGGCTGACAGCATGATGTAATATATACACCAAAGGTCAAGTCACACAGAAAACAAACACCCACAGATGGTTTGTTTACCAAGGACTATATGTCAACATGGTACCTGTTAAACATGCTACTTGTTAAAAATTAACTGAGATTTTAAAAAGAATAAGCTTAACTTTTGAATCAAGAATGGATTTGAGGTCAACAAAAAGCTTGCTAGCTCACCATTGCTTGTTGGAGGAAATGGCATATGAGGCTGCTTCAGCCGGTAAGAGCTTGCTAATCTGGGAGGATTTGCAGATCCTGGTGGAGGCCCACGAAGAAGTAAATGCTGCCGATATTCCAGACCTGGGGTCACTCTGTGGCTACCGACCAAACCCACGGATGGAACATCTGGAGCATTACTAACCTCATAGCTGTTAGGAATTCGGACATGAAGAAGGTCGGAAAACGCAGCCACGACATTGCTAATGTTCTGAAACCAAATGCAAACACTGTGTTACTCACCCAGAAGGTAACAGTGAACAACTGAAGAAAAATACACACTTAGGGTAAATGCTCTCTGCATGGTACATAGACTGCAAGAAAACTCAACAACTTTAAGTTTTTTTATTTAGATTTTAAAAGTCTCAGGAAAAAAACGGCTTTAATGTCATGTCACCAGACTATTAGTTTAGCCTCTAATGAAATGTCTTCACAGCACTCAGAGTTAAAAAAGTAAAAAATCCTCAGCAAGTTACTGATGCTTGATATAAGCACATGCTACGTGGAGAACATTTCTGTTGCTTCTGTAAAACTTGTATTATTGATAAAGTTTTTTTTTCATTGCTTTTTTTCTTTACTGTTAATAGTTTTTACAAAGTTTCTCTCTAAAGAGTTCTCTAAGAGGGTGCAGTGGCTCACACCTATAAGCCAGTCACTTAGAAGGGATGGGAGGACTGTTTGAAGCCAGGAGTTTCTGTCTAGCCTGGACAACCTAGTAAGAGCCCATCTCTGGGACCTCATCTCTAAAAAAATTAAAAAACTATCTGGGCACTGTGGCACATACCTGCAGTTCCAGCCACTTGGGAGGCTGAAGTTGGAGGATTGCTTGAGTTCAGAAAGTTCAAGGCAGCAGAGAGCTATGATTGCTCCACTGCATTCCAGCCAGGGTGACAGAGCAAGACCTCATCTCTATTTCTTTAAAAAAAAATTATCTAAAGTATACATCCTTTAATAAGAAAATGTGAACTCGAATTTTCCTTTCTTCCTTGACTTAAGTTGAGACCAATTCAATGCGTAATAAGAGTACCCAAAGGCAGCCCAGAGGTGTGAAATGACTAATAGTCCTACCCTTGACCTGGATCTTCCATCCTCAGTGATACTGGTGTATGTGCTTCACTGTCAGTACCTGACACATTTTTAAAAATAGGGATATGTGGCCAGGCACAGAAGCTCACGCCTATAATACCAGCACTTTGGGAGGCCGAAGTGAGAGGACTGCCTGAGCTCAGGGGTTCAAGACCAGCCTGGGCGACTTGGTAAGACATTGTCTCTACAATAAAATAAAAAAATAAGTTGGGCGTGGTGGTGCGTGCCTGTGGTTCCAGCTACTTGGAAGGCTGAGGTGGAAGGATGTCCTGAGCCTAGCAGGTCAAAGCTACGGTGGCCGGGAGCATGACACTGCACTCCAGCCTGGGGGACAAAGAGAGACTTCAACTCAAAAAAAATAAAAAATAAATAAATAAGTAAATAAAATGGGAACATGATCTTTAATATTCAGAAGTCATTCATCTTTTACCTCAGCGGCTGTAGGATGCAGGGTAATTGCCACAGATATAAGACCTGATCTGGGACCGTTTGG